TCGTAATATAGAATTATTCACCTATCTCGATTCTTGACACAACCATGCTATTTAAAATAATATGAAAATCCGGTTAAACAATAAAAATTGTCTGCTTTTAATAAATAGATGGTAAATTAACGTTAATATTAATGAGACTAAGAGATAATACAAGTCAAATACTTACAAGCCAGGCCTTTATATTGCCATAATTAGTGATTATGCCATTGTGAACAACAAGAAACTCATTATTCGAATCCGAAGGTTGCGGATGAGAATTCACTTCATTTGGTTCCCCATGGGTTGCCCAACGAGTGTGGGCAATTCCAATGTGGCAGTCAAAAACAACAGTCCCATCAGTTGACTTTAGCAAGCCTGAGGGCACAAAAAAAATTTTTTTAATTAAGAAATATTAACGATATTCATGATTGCATGTGGCTGATAGACGAAGAGAAACTAGACCACTCACTTAATTCACTAGCCAGGTCTCTAAAATAGAGGTATGCTTTAAGGAGCAAAAACATACTAGTAAATTTGCCCTACTGACAAATACGAGGCAAGATTAATATATGAGGAGTAAAAGAAAAACTGAAATAAACACCAATTGTGAAAATACAAATTATTCGGTTTAAGGGCATATGATCATTAGTTCACATTTATTGTGCCTAAATATGACCTTGTCCTTAATATAGAAGAACCAGGTAACGAAATCGCTGTTGGCATAAATTATATAAAAACGAAAATCTTTCAAATGAGAAACAACTAAAAGCCAAATGGTGATTAAGAGGCAATATTTAAAATTAAATAAACGACAACAGAAATAATACCAACTTTCTACTGCATCAACCAGGATAGCAACCTTCCCTCTCCTGCGCACCAGATTAATAAGCACAGTTTCAGAGGGTAACAAGTTATTTCCTTCAGAATTTTCGAATCCATTATGATAATTTTTCATTTGGATAGTGGAGTCAATAGCAATACCAGATGAATCGTAGCCACGATATTCGAGCCTTTTCAAGCCATTTAGAAGGATTTCTGCTATTTGTGCTCGTGAAACTGGGCAGTTCCAATTGAGATAGGCAAAAATACCTGGAAAATATTAAAAGAGAAAAATACCATAAACGCTATGGATTTTTAATATTCAAAATCAAATAGAATAAATAAATAAATGAAAAAAGCAATGAAGACATTTCCGTATAATATGAAGTTTGGGAAATATAATATAAAAAATAATCTATTATACAAATGCAGGTGACAGAGTCGTCAGGGTGGGATGAAATCAAGAGAATAGCGATAAAAAAAGTGAGC